TAGTGGATACTGGATTTGTTACTAATTACCATAATGGCCTACTCTAGCAGGCCTGACTGTGATAGTGGATACTGGATTTGTTATTACTTACCATAATGGCTACTCTAGCAGACCTGACTGTGATAGTGGATACTGGATTTGTTATTACTTACCATAATGACTACTCTAGCAGCCCTGACTGTGATAGTGGATACTGGATTTGTTATTACTTACCATAATGGCCTACTCTAGCAGGCCTGACTGTGATAGTGGATACTGGGTTTGTTAGACTTACCATAATGGCCTACTCTAGCAGACCTGACTGAACTGTGATAGTGGATACTGGATTTGTTAATACTTACCATAATGGCCTACTCTAGCAGACCTGACTGAACTGTGATAGTGGATACTGGATTTGTTAATACTTACCATAATGGTGATCCAACAATGGATTTGACATGTTTGGTTTATACCCCACCGGTGGAGAATAATTTTCGCATACAACAAACGCCTCTGAAATAATAACAAGACAGTCCATATATAATTATTTTAATATTTTTACATTTTTCAATCACTCGGTTGATAAATAATTATTTCAATGTTAATGTACATGGTTGAGACAACGAAACAATACAAAATGCATTGTTTAAACATGATACTAATAAATAAACCACAATAGTCAGTTTTTATGGGAGAGTTGAAATGTGTTTTACTCTCAGCAAATACACTAATTTGAATATGTTTGCTTTATTTAATTTCTGTGAAAGGAGATACCACTGGGTTTAATTTTAGATTTGATTTACTAGGGATATTCACTAGGTATTAACCTTTTGACCACCAGACTTTTTCGCCCACATTTGTCTGTACATTTTTTTCTTTTATTCTTCAATATTTTTAGTAATGAATCCTGCTTTTGGGCCAACAGACACAATTTGAGTCAATTTTCAGTTTTTAATGAAAAAAATTTTGCCATTTTCCCCAATCTTTTGAAAGAAAGTACCGACTATAAACAGGACTATGTGAATTTGCGCTGAAAAAAGGGAAGTAGTGGTGAAAAGGCTAAAATTCACCTTCTATTGTTTATTTTGTATACAGTGAATTTTATGGAAGCATGAATGTTTTAACTTTATTGAAATTTATAAAATATTAACCTTGGAAGACCTTGCACCTTATTCAAATCTAAGGAATACATATTCATTTTTGTTAGAAGTCATTTGGTAAAGTTCATTACCATTAAGTCTTTGTGAGTGTCCCCCAATCATTGGCCAATTTACTGCTATGCATCTGTGATTGATCAATTTGATTTCACCAGATATGTAAAATTTATACAACATTTATGAATATTTTATATCAAAAACAATCATGCCTTCATGAAATTCACTGTATTCACTAGGTTTTAACTTAAAGCATTCAGCTATTGAGAAAGTAAAAATAAAACCCAACCTACAATTAAGCCATTTACAGTCACAATCAAGGATGGTAAAAAACTTCCACTGATTACAGCCAAAATGTTGATAAAAAACCTGACTGATAGCCCGGGCAATGTAAAATGCATTTACCATACTTCCCAGGTCATAAGCCCGGGGGCCTGAACATGTAATATTGGGGAAAGTATGAATTTACGGTGTAAATTGGGTAGGGTCTGTTGGAAAACATTTAAAAGCAAGATATTTATCAGTATCTTTGTTGTGGGATGTTTGTGATTATTCACAAACTCTTGATGCAAAGAAATTTCCGCCATTTCAGCATGATTGACCTGAAACACTGTCCTTTGACCTAACAGGTCATGTCTTTCATTAACTAATCAAAATGCTGAGTTGTATTTACAAAATTTTCCAATTATTGACGATGAAATGTATTTAACACATCGCAGAAGTGAATTACTGCGATGTTAAAAAACGATGTTAGCATTGATTTTGAATGATTTTCCACTAAAAACTGGTGATTTGCAATTTTCAAACAGTGAGGAGGAAGTATTTCTTAAACACAGTTCAAGGTCGTCAACAGATCATGTCCAAGAATAGTTTACACGTTCACTTCCCATTGATTATTTGGAAAAGTGAAAACGATGTCCAATGACCAGGTTTCACAACTCGACGGTCACAAGCCACCACCAAAAGAGATAATGATTCCTTCAATCAGTGTTGCAACATCAAGATTTATCCTGAGTAAATAACATAATAGAAGGGATGTGGACAGTGTGCTATATGTTCGCCATGCACACTGAAATTAATGCGAATTTTCTCATGAAAGCACAAACCATACTACCATCCCAATCACAATTATTATTAAATGAAACAAACTTTTCACATGCATATTTTAATAAATGTCGTTGACATCTGGTAAAACACCCTGGAATCATAACCAGGTTATATGCCCTCAACTCAACTGATCAGGGAAGGACGGTATATGAACAAATTATTTTTACAAAACAAGTGATTTTATCATGAATATCACTAAAGAGTAAGTAATAATAGGAAGAAAGGATAAGAATATGGTCACCTATGCTGGAATTTCTACTACTTCTTGGCTTAGCAATTGTCACTTTTGGAAAGAATATCTTGAGTTGAGAATAAAGCAGAGTCACATCTTTGCCACGAAATATCTGAGAAAAAAAAAGCAATTTACTGGTTTATTTATAACTCAAATATATGCAAAGGACCCAGATCTACAAAACTCATGAAGAATTATGAAAGTGAATATGAGAAAAAAGAAACAATCATCATCATGAAATCCACTATTCTGGGTGAAGAGAATGCCAAGATTTGTGTGCAGAGAACAGTAACAGTACACTGGACAAAGACTTGTTATCATCTTTACCAATAGAATAAGTAAAATCAGAAAAATATTCACCTTTGCTACAAATGTACCTCCAGGTTTCAATACATGCGTTGTTATGTTCAAAGCCTGTAGTGGTGAAACAGAAAGAAGACATTTATATGAAACATTTGTGGCATAAAATGAAAGACTTCAAAATCAATTTGCAGTGCATTATGGGAAAACTATCCTTATTTTCAATTCACTTTTTACCCATTTTTGTTCACTACACTCCAAACATTCTTTGACAAAATACGCAAAGTAGACTATGAGTTGAATTTTGATGAGTAATTGTCATGAAAGCAAAGAACCAATCAGAAGTTGTTTTAAAACCAAAATATTGCCTGCATGATTCTACGTGTTACTTGATTGGTTCCCATTTTTTTTATTTCAATGTAGTTGTAATCAGGTGTTACCAAAAAGAGGCTAAGGTTTTACAACAATGTTTTCAACAAGCAGTGTTCAGAATTGCAATAATCATATGATTTTTAAATTCAGTCACAATTTAAAATCTGATGGGGTTATTTTCCCCTCGACAACTATCATTATTATCACAAAAACATTTCCAGTAACCAAGATAGCACAACATGAATACAACTACAGGTCTGGTAACCATGGACATCCTCACAAATACCTACACATGGTGACCATGACAACAACCCTAAATGTAGCAAAGAATGGTGACCATGGCGACATGAACTGATATTAACAGAAACAATAACTGTGA